CCCTTTGTTCCCTCTGCTGGGAGGTGTCAGTGCCCCCTCTGGGTTGCGTGGACCCGCCTCTCGGTCGTGTCACTCCCCACGGCGTGGTTCGTGTGCTCCCTCCTTGGTCAGCACCCCCAGGGAACCTGCACACCCCCTCCCTTGGGTCGCGTCCCCCCCTTATCGCGGGACGTGCCCTCCCCGCCCCCCCAGCGCGGGACCCACCTTTGTGTCCCCATATCTGCAGGATCTGCTCTGTGTTCTGCTCCAGCAGCCCCCTCGAGGCTCCCAGCGCAGGGAAGGGTGTAGCTGCTCGGCCTCCTTGCCGCGGGCATGAAAACACTCGGGTTGCAGTTCTTCCCACAAGGGAGGCCTTGAGCTGGGCAGCAGCTCTGCTGGCCCGGGTGCCCGGGCTCAGCCCAGCGTCTCCGGGCCTTCTGCGAGACGGGTCTTTCTGTTTCTTCATCCCGTTGGAGGTGGAGATGTTGTGGTCCCACCAGCCGTCGTGCCCCTGTGGCCAGGTGGGGTGCCCCAGAAGGGGAGGAGGCATTCCAAGGCTGTACGTGCTTCCTGGAGCGAGCCATGTGTTCTGAGGGTTGGGCTGTTGTAGTGCTCCCTCATGGTGCGTTTATGTATGATGGAGAGTGAAAACAAAGCAAGGGATGTTAAAGGACTCCTTTAATGCAAGGACAGCCCTTTGCCATGAGAAGAGAACGTGTCCAATGGTACCACAGAATGAATTCAGTACATGAAGTTTTCTACAGATGAGTACGTTTGGAAGGTAGAATAAAACCACTTTCTTCCCAGACCTCAGGTACTTAGCTCGAGCACCTGGCAGTGCCTCCTCTGATGCTCAAGCATGAGGTTATTTTTCTGTTGAGGAGGGTACAGAAGCAATGCTGCTGCTTCGTAGGAATTGCTTTGTATGAAAACTTCTGTTTTCAAACGTTCACAGCAGGTTCTTCTGTCCTAAGAGGAATACACTGCTTGATCTGGGCAAGGTGACTAGTCTGCTGTGCCCCACTCCATTCACAGGCAGCTTTTCCATGAGCTTTTTAAACATTCAGAAGAAAGTCTGTATCCAGGAATTTTCAGAATAAAGTATCAGTTGTTTCAAAAAATACTTACAGAATCTTGTCCCCATTGAGCGCACCAAAGTAAATGAATCAGAAGTCTGTAGACCAAGAGGTCCAGCAAAGGGTGTCGAAAAACGTACAAATAAAGGAAGTTTCTCTGGTTCTGCATATTCATATTTTACAGGCTCTTTCTCTGGTTGCTTTCAAACTTTTCCAAAACGTTGTGGTTTGCCAGAAGTTTGTAAGGGAGAAACTAAGGAGATGAAATGTAGTCCTTCAGTTTATAGCTAATTACTTCCTTACCCAAGAATTCTTTCTGATACAACCATTAATATTTAAAATTCATGTGCTGCAAATTAAAGGAGAGTTAAACGATAGTTTTAGAATGCAGTTACCTATTAGTAATCGTTCTTACAATAGAAAGAATGTAAAGATTTGACCTTCATCTCATTAGAAACAATAATGTTTAAGTTGCACTTTTATATTGTTTGGTTATTTTAAATTGCTTTTCATTATGAAAATGTAATGTTTGTGTAGCAGTGCAAGAGGAGGGGAATGGTTCATGTCTGAGTGCAACTGCATTATAGGACAGATAAAATGAAATATTTCATCTCAGTTTTGTTAAATCTCTCTTACAGGATATGAAATGTGATGCTTTTTTTGCTTTGAGGAGATACTTTACCATTAAAAATGTTCAGTGGCTTAGGTGATATCCTCATCTTGGAATTATGTGTATCTAAGTACATGTGTAAGGACTGGCAGGATTTGTAACCAGCTGAGTGAGGTATAATGAACAGACTTCCAGCAGTTTGATGAGTATTTTGACTGGAAAATGGTTATGGTTGATTACAGTGCATTACAGTGCATTTATCCTGTATTGTAATTAATTCTGAGTTTCAGCTCAGCTGATGTAGAGTTCTAGATGTAGAGTTTGAGAGAGGGTGTGAAACAGAAGGATTGCAGGGCTGTTCCCAGAATGACAGCACTGGTGAGGCTGGTAGGGAAGGAAAGAAAGAGTTTGGGTTTTGAGGGTGGGAATTTCAAGCAAAAATGTCAGAGAAATTGAGACTCTTGCACAGACAGTGACATCAGGGTCCGTGTGGTGAAGCTGGCAGGGTGCAGAGCAGCTGTGGGGCTGGTGGGAACCTCTAGGAGGGGAAGCCTGCTGCTCCTGACCACCCCATCCAGAGGGTCTGGGGTGATGGACCCCAGTGTGTTCTGTCTGTGTTGGTTACACACACCTGGCTTGGGAAATGAAATCAGTAGGGATGTGTGCTTTCCCCAGATAACGTGGCCAGGTAAAGCAGTGAGGACGGAGCACTCTGGGCTGAGGTCCAGCTCACAGGAAAGCCTTTAGAGCTTTTGCAGATGAGGTGCTCTACTTCAAATACAAATCAGACTGTTTCAGTGAACTTTTTCTTTTTAAATTTGAGGTAATATTTCAAATCTACCAAGGTGTTTCCAGAATCAATTTATGTGATAACTGGTGTTTACATTAACTGTGTATAGTGTTCACATCACCTGCCTGGACAGCTTGTGTACATGAATGAATTCTTGCATGGTTTGGGCTATCGATTATGTTTCTCCTTTTGCAATATGAGAAAGGGAAATGTCCTCTGTCCCTGATCTTACATCTTCAAAGTCTGCTTGTGTCCATGCCCTTTGCTGGGCAGACCTTTCTCCAGAGGTTTAGCAGGACTGACCTACTTAGCTCTGCTTGAGTGCTTAAGCTGCTGCATCCTGTTCGCTGGTGGTCGCACTGTGCTCAGCAGCCGTTAGAGGGAGTTGTGCAGTCCTGAATATTTTAAGACACACCTTGAAAATGGAATTTAGCTCCTTCAAAAAGGGAAGTTCAGAGTGGTTGTTCATTGTCATGTCCCCTGCATCCCGTGCTGCTGTGCTCCTGTTCTCCCAATCTTGGCATTTTCTGTTCTGGCAGTGGAAGGGAAGCTGTCTTGTTCTGCAGGGAAAGCAGCTGCATTGCCCAGTGTGCTTGAACCTCTCTCCCTCTCCCCAGATTTCTTCCTCTTGTAGTAAGTAGAGGAATAAAATATTAATTGAAAGTTCTAAGTGTGACTTACTTCTTTTTCTAGATTCTGGAAGTTACAGTCATTCTGGGGGCCAGCAGAGGTACGTGTGGGGTTTTCTACTGTTAGCAATTAAATGTGGAAGATAAAAGGCCATTTAGGACTCCCAGGGTGGTGTTTGAGTCTTTGGGTGTGATACAGTGTCAAGATGGTTTTGGTGAAGAAAGCTTGCTGCCCTGGGCCTTTATGAAAAAGGAAGACAACTTCTGTTCCTGCAGGGAAGACAATGAGCAGATTTAAATTGGAATGACATCTTCTAATAGTAACTTTTGAGATGTCATGAAAAATATTTCTTTATATTCATATGACTGCCTTCAGCTGTTCACTAAGATTTTAGTTGATGATTATACAGGTGTAAAGTTGATGGACCATATAGATGCAAAATTTTCTTTTTCCATTTTGTTTTCCCAATGGAGGGAACTTTTTGTTGAGATCCTCTGATATGTTTGTAATTATGAAATTCAAAAGCCAGGTCACAAAATAGCTGCAAGCTGGGGGGGGGGTGTATTTTAATAATTGAAACAAAACTTCTTCTGTAAGTATGACAATTATGGCTCATGCTGACTGTGCTGATGAAGGTGCTGTGCTATAGCACCAGGTGAGTGTGAGTTTATATCTGTTTGGTGTGAGTTTCAGCACAAGGTTCTTCTCTCAGTACACAAAGCCTTAAAATGGCAGAACAAAGAGTCAGTATAACCTAAAGCTAGTGCAGTTTTTTATTATGTTAGTGTTGAATAGTCCAACAAATAGCAATTTGACAGTAGTTGATTAACATAAAATTAACTGTAATAATATACTGAAAAACTTAAAATGACGTGGTCTCATGTGACAGAGTTTTCTGTGATTTTTGAGTCTGCCAAGTTACAGTAAACCCAACTTTCATGCACTTAAAATGTACACTTGAAACAAAGCAGAAATTGAACTGCTCTTCTGACAGTCAGTTAGGGTAGTCAAGAGTATTGATGCAGTTCTAATGCACCTACAACTGCAGTATTTAGATTGAACACCTATTTTGCAATGAAAAGAAACCAAAAATAACACCAGAAATACCTTTACTTTCCAGCTCCTGTGGAGGGCACTGTAAGCATTTTCTAAATGCAGTTTTCTCTTGCAGCTATTCATCCTATGGCAATCAGGGCAGTCAGAATTATGGACAAGGACAGGTAAGCTGAAAAAAATACCGTGTCTTCCAAAGCAGGTGTTCCTTGAGTAAAAATAATAGTTCCTGGGTGACCGTATCTGGGCCAGGAAGAAGTCCCTTCTCAGCTGTGCTTCGTGTTTGCAGTCATGTCTAGCAGAGGAAAGCTGTAGTTATCTGCTGTGGAAATTACACTTCTTTGGGTATGTTCTTTAAATTGCAGGGGTATTCCAGTTATGGGCAGAGTGGAGACAATTCTTCCTACGGACAGAACTATGGAAGCTATCATGGGAACTATGGACAGAATCAAACAGGTTTGGCTAGCTTGTTACATTCATTGGCAGGAATTAAAAGGTGAATATTTACTAAAAATTTTCTTCCTCAATTTCCAGGTTATGGACAAGATTCCCAGGGGTATGATGATGAATCCAGTTATGAAAACCAGAGTCAGAGCTCATACAACCAGCAGTCCTACAGCAGCCAGGGGCAGCAGAAGGGGTCCTCCAGAGGGTAAGGATGCTGAGAGTAACACTGACTAGTAGTTGTACATTCTACACTAGAGCTGTAGCAGATTTCCTGCTGTCATTGCTAAAAAAAGACAAACATCTGAAAATGCCAATTCTTAAGACATTTTTAATGTCTGAAGGAACTGGAGGTAATGGAAGAGCATTTCTTTATGTGGGAAGTATGGATGCAGTTGTTTTAATGTCAAGCTGTAAGGGAAGATAAACTTTGGAAGAGCGTTTCTTTATGTGGGAAGTATGGATGCAGTTGTTTTAATGTCAAGCTGTAAGGGAAGATAAACTTTGGAAAGTCTTTGGATAGTGACTACAGTGAAGAAAGGTCTTGGCAGATAATATTTTTATTAAAAAAATAGATGGAGTAACTCTCCAGTCACATTCTTTTGTATAAACTTGGAGTACTCTTTATTAACTTCAAGTATGATGCTAGCAAGGACATTATTAACTGTTCTTAGATTTGAAGGCTTCTCTTCTGACGTATGATGCCTTTTTGTGGTGAAAGAGGAAGGGATTCAGAAATATAATTTAAGAATTATCTTTTCTTTTTCCTACTAAGTAGGATTCTCAAAACATCCTGGTTTTATATCCTTATCAATAACTTACATGTGTGCATCCTGCACTCTGATTTAGTTTCAGGAGGATTAATGATAAAACTTTTAAAATATGTTAGAAAATACAACTCAGCTTTCCATAATGATTTATTAAGGCCAGTTCATCATCTAACTTAGAAGCTTCCTGCATACACCCCAGGATTACTGCTTGCATTAGATCTTTATTGAGGATCATGTGAGCTCTTTAAAATACAGACATGTACTAAACTTCATTCTTGTGTCCAAGGTCCAGATATCTTTTGTTTTCTTTTGCAAGCTGATAAAACAGCCTGGACTTCAGCAAACCTGTACTTTGTTTATGGTTTTGTAGTTATAATTCCAAAACAAATTAAACAAGCAAAGTCTTTATCTGTCAGCAGTAGGTGCTGTCACTTGGAGTGTCTTTTTCACATCCCTAAAAAGGCCAGAACATGGTTAAGTTTCATTTTGTTTTGCTTTATTTTCTGAGTGTTTATTGGAGCTACACAAAGGTATGGGACTAGGCAATAATGTGTCTTTTAACTCTGTAGGCATCTAGTGGGGAAAAAATGCAGCAGGGCACAGATTCTCCAACGGGTTGGTTTGGACCGAGAGAATGAAAAGAAAGCACTGAAGGAAAACTTTTCAGTGTATGATTGTAACAAGTAGGGAGAAACTGAGAAATCTAATGACAGGAACTTTGAAGAGCTTGGCCACAAAATTGGCCTCTTGCATCTTAAGGGAGGGAAGGATGGAAATAGTGGGTCCTCTCAGTGATGCTTCCTTCATTGGTGATGTGCAAAGGCTGAAGTGGAGATGACTTTTTTGAAGTGAAGATACTGACAAAAATCTTGGCAAGCTCTTTGCCACTGGGATTATTTATGTTAAAGCTAGGATCTAGGCTAGAACTGGGAGAGAGCAGATTAGATGGTATTTGCATGGACAGGGTATTTTTAGATTGGTTGGACCCAAAGGACCTCATCTCAGAGCATTTTGAAAAGCTGGTGGCAAATTTCTGTAGGCTCTTAGATTTGTTTGTTTGTTTCTCTGAGACATTTTAGTTAGCAAGTAAGATTGACAAAGACTGGAGAGCAGCAAATGTGGTGCCTCATCTTTTGAAAAAAGGATGGAAGCAAGAGGAGCAAAAGAGGAAAGGGTGGCAGAGGACAGTGATTGATTTCAGTTACTGAAAAAACAATACAGTTTAGTCACAACTAAACACCCAGGGGGAAATCAAAGGTATGACTAATAGCCAGTGCTTCCTGGCTGCAGTTTGTTTCTTCTAAATCTATATAGTGTCTTGCTATGAAGGAATGAACCAACTGGAACTGGAACAATCGTTCTCTTGTATATCTAGATTTTCAAAATACTTCTGTTTCTGCCTTGGATGCTGCAGTAGCCTAGGGAAGTGTGGTGTGGGTGAAACTTCTTGTGGGTGCTATGAAGTGATTAGTCAGAAGATTTATGGTTCCCTCTCAGAATGTATGGCTGCATTGAGTGGAAGTATCCTTGATGGGATGTTGGTCAGTGCTTCTGATGACAGTTGATGGGTTGATTTTTGTAGATGGCACTGAAGGAACTGCAGGTATGTTAGAGAACATCACAAGAATTAACAGAATTCTTGGCCAGGTGGTAGAATACCCAGAAAATGATAGGTTGCAGTTCAGTGAAAGTAAAGGTTTTTATTTTAATTTTTTCTGTTTTGAAGGCTGGAAGTATCAGCTGCACAATACAGTATGAACAGGGGTGTCTGTCCTGCAGTTCTGTAGAGGAGGAATTGCTGGTTAGTGGGTCATGGACTGTCAGCCACTCTGATGCTCTGGGAGAGGGGCAAAGCAAGCGCTGTGCTGGGTGTGGAAAAGGCGTGCTGTTCCAAGTCACATTTACAGAGCAAACTGAGGATGTCCTGAACCTGATGGTAACCTACAGTCTCTGCCTGGCCTTTTTGGAAGGCAGGTGTATCCAGCAGAGACCAAACATAGTGTTTTCATATCCATGTGCCAGCATGACTGGGAGGTGGCTGTGACTGGGACATTCCAGATACGTTATGAATGTTCAGCCATGATTTTGCTCTCTCTTCTGTGGATGTTTAGCTATTAATACAAATTCTGTTTGTTTTAAGTGGAAGAGGCTCTTATGAACAAAAGTCAAACTATGGTCAGCACCAAAGCTCTTATGACCAGCAGTCAAACTATGGACAAAACCAAGACTCTTATGACCAGCAGTCAAGCTCCTATGACCAGCAGTCGGGCTATGGCCACCAGGGCTCCTATGACCAGCAGTCGGGCTATGGCCACCAGGGCTCCTATGACCAAAAGTCAGGCTACAACCAGCACCAAAGCTCATATGGCCATTCTCAGCAGTCCTACCAGTCTCAGAAGGGAAGCTATAGTCACAACAGCCAAGGTAAAATCCACAGGTTGAATTCAATGTTGGCTAATAAAATGAAGGAGAAATACTGGGAAATAGTTGGTTTTCCTTTCCACAGACTGTTGATTTGATTAATGGTTAAAGCTCTCTTTCCTTTTTGATATTCTTGGGGGATGTTTTATTTGTTAAGACTTTCAAATCATGCAGAGATGAAAAACTGTTTGTGTCTCAAAATTGTTGCTGTTGCATTTGTTGGAGGCAGTCTCACAGAGCCCATCTCCCTGAATTCTGCAAATTCTACATGGCATTTTCTTCTTAATCTATTTTGAGCCTTCTCCCTGCATGAGGGTGACATATCCTGATCAGTCATGAAGAGCTTTTGCACGTCACATACCAGCTTTATGCTGTGTAGGTGAATTGTGAGATGGAAGGCAACAAGACGCTTAAGATGGACAGGTTTTCAGAAGGTTCACCCAGGCAGCACAGCCCCCACTCCTTGTCCTTGTTCTGCTGTCAGTGATGGTGTCTGCAGCTTGGGAAGGCTGTCTGGAAGTACAGTGAAAAGTGTATTTTGGACAATTTGTGTTTAGTATTTGGGAAGTGGAGTGTCATGGAAGTACAGAGTGTTTGCATGCTGGGCTACCTTGTTGCCCTGGAAGCCCAGGGAGAGAACTGAAACAAAACCAACCTTTGCACTGTTACTCTGTGGTGTAGATAATGTAAGAGAGATTTAGGAGTTGATGCTTTCCAGATGTGAACAACTGACTTGGGGGGTGGGAGGGAGTAGAATGCAGAGTGGGAATTTTCACTGCAGTTTGCAGTCCAGCTTCCTCATGTTTTGTTCTGGTTCACTCCTTCCTGCAGATGATCGTCGTGAAAAGAGTAGGTATGGAGAAGATAATAGAGGATATGGCGGGTCACAGGGAGGAGGTAGAGGGGGATATGACATGGATGGAAGAGGTCATATGTCTGGATATAGGTAAGTGATCTCATCCCAGTGCCTGCAGCTCTTTACTTATTTAGTTCTTATTATTTAGCTGTTTTAAATGTTTGTTTACTATATATCTGTTCCTAATGTGGTTCAGATTTAAATTTCCAAAAATGGAAGGTTTCTAAGATTAAACCTTTTGGCACTTCACAGAAATTAATATTGCCCAGGAAAAGCTTTTAGGCTCAGATAGATGGAGACCAACATTTGATTGTTAGGACAGAGAGCTGTGTTTTATATACATGAGTTGCAATACAAAACCTGCCTGAGCCCATCCCTTGAAATAAGAGATTTTAAAACCTGTAAACATTTGTTTTCAATGACAGGAAAAACAACAGCCAGGAATTGCAAAGTTTTTATAGAATACATAGCTAAGGTAGCTGACATTTTAGCAGGGCATCATTTTTCCTTTACAGTAATAAAACATTAGACCAAGGTTGGCTAATTACCTTTATGCTTTCAAAAGAATTTAGAAGTAATTTAATAATAACATTGATTGGTTTTTACAGTTCTTTTGCAGTGTAAATCTTCCATTAAATTGTAGTTTATGTTATTGGTTCAGTCTAAACATGTTTACGTAGATTTTAAGTACTAATAGTGCTGTTACCTGTGCTGCTGTTGCCTGTGCTGTGAAGAAAATTCATGCACACACTGAATTTTGGGCTTGCAGATGATTTTGTGCATAGGTCTGAGAGCTTGGAACTTTGCTTTAAATGCTGTTGAATTAGGCCAGGTGACATTATTATTTCTTAATAAACTGTCACAGTTGGCTGCCCTCTGGAGACCTCTGTGACATGGCCAGGGTGTTAGGTGCTGATTGAGGTAGGGATATTGAAGTATCCAGTGAGCTTGGAAGTGTTGCTGGTCAACAACCACTGACCTTGTCACAGGCTGCACAGTTCTGGGTCATTGCTAGAACTCGAAGAACTCTAGTTACGCTATGCTGTTTATTTGAACTGATCCAATATAAATAAAATAATTCAGTGGTGTGTTAAGACTTGATAAATATGACCTACCAAGGAATAAAATTTAAAGTTTGCCTGCTCCTGAGGTGGTCTCAAATAGTACTTCATGGCTCGCTGTTCTGGTGATCTAGGTGGTCCCTACCATTCTAATTAGGTGTGCTAACACAATTACCAAAGCATATTAATAATTATAAAACCCCAGAAAACTGTAACATAAAATATAAACTTAACTAGTTCATTTTCAGTTAAAACTGAACAATTTTGTTTTAATTAGTGTTTCAGTGATGATGAAGGCTTTCCATATTTCTGTGATAAAATTGTGTTTTTAAAAAATGGTTTATAGCTGAGCCCTTTCCAATGAGAGGAATGAATGTGAGCTTCAAAAAACATACTTTGGGTAGATTTTATCACTTTGAAACAAACATATCTTTGCAAGAAAATGTAAGATAAATTAATGTCTGTGAAAATAAAGTCTTTTCCCATATTTTTCAAAAATGCAATAAAAATTTTGTTCACACATCCATGCAGATAATAATATTCCAGTGGACTTGGAAGCCAAAAGTAGGAAAAGAGTGGAGGCAAATAGAGAAATGGGGGAAAATTCAGCAAACTGGGAAGTGATTTATGAGGTCTGTCTGTCTCTGTTATGTGATGCAGTCTGTAGTGCACTTTGCAGTGAAACTTTTCTGAAACTACAATGTCAAATATGTTCATTGACTCTTCCTGTATAATTATGACGGAGAATTCTGCTTCTGACGTGTATTTTACCAAAGTCATGCTTATTAGAAAAGTGCAAAAGGTTAAATTAAGTAACAAACTGTATAATCAAGGGGAACATAACTTCTAATAAGGTAAGAAATCATGTTTAGTCCTTTTTGTTTCTTTGGGTTTCCTTTTTTCCTCCCCCCCAGTAGCAGCTTGCGTAGGAATGCCAAGTCTTATCTCCAGGGACTAGGCAGCATTTTCAGTTTTTTACTACTTTCATATTTTTATACTTAGCAATAAATTGTGGAAATACCATAGCCCTCAGGAAAGAATCTTATCTAAAAATCTCTTGCACATAAATATTAGTTCTGCTGTCATAATGTAGGCATCCCTTTTCCCCAAGACCCGTGACATTTGGCTGTGCCAGCCTACCTGCATGCAAGACCTCTCAGCAGTCTGCAAGTGCAAAAACACTGCTCTGGACCCAGTACTTGGGGCAAAATCAGACCTGTGCTTTTAAATTTTGAGAGCTTTCATTTCCATGAGTGACCTTTATAAAAGTTCTTCTGAATGTAGTTGGAAAGGTTAAGGTATGATATCTAGAATTACTTGAATAAGTACTGTAATAGCTGTTTCCAGCACTCATTTTTCTTTTGTACCAGTGCAAAGTCATTCAGCTCTGAGAAGAAAATACCTCTTGAAAAATTACTGCTCAGGTGCCCAAACTGGTGTTATTACGATAGAGAACCATCATTTTCTTACATGTCAGATGTTCACTCTTTAATCTTAGTAAGTCTGGGTTTCAAAATTATTCTTGTGATCTTTTTTTGATGGTCTTGAATTGCACCTTCTGGGATTTTAGTAGAATTTTTCCACCCTTTCATTTTGAAGCTTGAAACATTTATGTTCTCACTAATTTTTATTTTGGTTAAGAAGCAGAATCTTTTCTTTTTTAAAACCCCCAGGAGAAGAGTCTCATCTTTGAGTTCTTTTGGTTAGAAAGCAGGTACTCTGGGTCTGGAAAATGTGGAGTTTTACTCTAAGTTATTCTTCCAACTTTTCTTGTAGATAACTTGCCTTATTGAAGGAGTCCTCATCTGAAAAATAAGAAATTAATTGCTCGTTGTGGTTGTGAGACCACTTTGTTTTGACTAAGCATGTAGGTGGGAAATACAGTAGCAACACACAGCAGGTTTGTTCTCTTTCACCTTGGGAAAGCCAGCCAGGCAGCTTAGGAGCTGTACCTGTGATACTGCCTTTCAGAGCTTGGGGTTTGATGGGAGAAGCTTTGCCTCTGGATCTGCATCCTTGCAGCTTAGGGAAGGGTTGACCATTGCCTTAGGATTTGTGGTAGAAACCCTAACTTTGCTCAGCCTAGTTTGTTTGTTTTGTTTTCCCCTCCTGCAGATTAGAGGCTGATGTGCTATTAACAAAAATTACCTATGAGCTTAATTGCTAGATGAGCTGTTTTGGCTGGGAATTAGCTGACTGTGATACAAAGGCAGCTCAGTGCAAAAGTTTGCTACAGCAGCATGCTGGCTATTCAGAATGAATATTTTGACTTGTACATGCTTGAGCTTAGCCTTATATAGACTATGGAAAAACATGAACAGAGGCATTAAATATAGGCAGCAAAATAAGCCATCTGTCAGTGATTTTACTGGTGCACTAAGCATTCCTCTCTTGTTTATAAAAATACATTCTTACATGAAACTCCCACATGCTTGCTGAGACATTGATGCATGTTGGAGGCTGACATTTGGTTCCTGAATTCTTAGTGCTACCTCTGGCCGTAACTGATCCCTTTTAAAAAGTGTTTCTTGTGTCTGTAGTGTTCAGCTCTCAATGGAACTGTGCCTTTAGTTTAAGGAGTTATTCTGGGCTGAAGTAAGCAGTGTTCAGATGAACTCCATCTTCACTCAAGTAGGTGATGTTTAAATGTATGACTCAGCATCATTCAGAGCAAATGTTGTCACTGTGACTGGTGCCATGTACACATTCTGGCTGCTTGCAGTGCAGTATTTTTTTTGCTGTCTTTGGTGGTGGCATTGCTGAATCTTGGCTACTTGTGGTTCTAACATAGGGTGTGGGAACTCCAGCGGCATCTGGTCACCCATCTATTTGCTCTGTCTGCAGGGCTGGTAAAGCAACAGACTGTGAAACACTGCAGTTGTGTTTTCCACATGTTCTGTGACAACAGTGAGGAAATAATCCAGTTTGGGGCTTGAATTTTGGTCTTGGTGAGGGCTAAATCTGAGACTGGCAGCAGCTACCTGCAGTCAATTTCTGTGTTTGACTTTGCTGCAGCATATCCACGTGCCTCCTGGGGAGCTCAGGAAGCTTTGCCCAGCAGTCTCAGGAAGGTAACACACTGCAGCCTGATCAGTTACATCTGAAATGGGACTTAACAGTCGAGGGGAAGCATGAATCTGTCATCAAAGGTCTCACTCGCTGAATTGATGCAGATTCTGATTGGGTTGGACATGTAAGGCGAGGCAGGAGACAACATGCTGAAGCATACTTGGGAAAAACATATTTCTACAGACATTAACTAAAAAGCTAATTAAGAACTACAGATCACACTTGTTACTGCAGGGTGCAGAATCACTGTATCACAGAATTAGAAATGAGCCATTTGACTGACTTCCTTTACATTTTATATATCCAACTTGTGTCACTTCTCAGAGTTGTGGTGCACACATTTGTGCCCAGCACCTGAGGAAAATGCTCCTCACTTCATTTACAATCCTGGCTGTGTTGATCACAAACATTCTGAATGTTTTTAGATTGGTGGGTATTTCTAATTCATGTCTCTGCTGCTGCATGCCTTCAAATCAGAAAACATGCATGGTCTGGATGATGCAGTTGTGATGAGTTAGGACCATGATCTAGGGCTGGAAAACTTTGGTTACGTTTCCATGGTTGAGGTATTTGCTCTTGTTATTTCTGAGTTAAAATCCTAGAAGAACAGGCATCCTGTTGAAACTGTTGCGTCACAATGAAGCTGTTTTTCTTTAGCTGAAGTGATTTGGAGGTGGCAGAAAAGTATTTACAGTAAATGTTATTATCATAATTGTGTTTTTATCATCAGTCCTTGAAAACAGCCAGCCTTCAGTAAAGACCAGCTCTGATATTGCACATAAAATTCATTAATTTTACCTCTTTAATCACCAGAATTCAGAGAATGCCTCTCTAAATCTAGCTCTGGTAATACCTGTTGAAACTGTATGCCTCACTTCGGAGAGATTTTAATCTCATAAATGTTAAGCAGGCAGCACCTCCCGTTCATGACTTGGCATTTGCTGTAACAGAAAACGGATGGAGTTTCAAGTTACTGCCTAATTGTACTTCCTTGCCTTTTGCTGGGTGCTTGTGTCCCATGTTGGGTCCCTGATGTATTGGTAGATGGATTGAATTAAAACCTGGAGTGACTTCCAGCTGTAAAGCACATTGGTGAGGAGGCTGCCCCTGCCGGCTCACTAGTCCCAGGGTCTGGAGGCAGCTCTGGTCAGGGTTGAACTGGCTTTGAGCTGCTGGGTGTGAAAGCTGTCAGGTGAACCTGCCTCCTGTCCAGGTGGAGCTGTGTCCCCCATGTGAAGGAGGGCAAGCAGGCAGTTGAGACACTTGGTTTATTGGCTTTAAAAAAAAATCCAGTGGTTGTATTTTCCTGAAGGCTTTGAACATCCCATTATATTATGTTCATAACATGGATGCAATTAAAAATGCTGTTGTGAAAAATCCTCCTGGTATGAGCATTTACACTGAGAAGAGTGAGGGTTTATTTTCATGCACATAACTGGAGGCATAACGTTCTGTTTCAAATCCCCTCTTAACCTTTGAAAGTTAATGTGTGTAATCTCTTAACTTGGTCTACATTTTGTGCCACAGGTTTCAGAATGAATGCAATAAAACTTGGCGGCCTCTGCTTTTGAAGCTCACATACACACACCTTCTCTGCAGGGCCACGTACAGTAGGTCCCCACAGACCCTTTCTCAGAGAATGGCTGATACTGCTACTTTGTCCCCCAGATATAAATGCATAATAATGGAGGTTAATTAACTTCAACTCTTCTTACCTTTAGGAAAGTACTGAAGTACTAATTATTCAAAAGTAGCAATTACATCTATTTAATCAATTCAAGCCCATTAACCTTCACAGAAATAATGTTTCTGTTCTAAACCCCAGTTTTTAATAGCAGTCATTTTGGCTTGTGGGATGGGAGAAAGTATTGAAGGAGTGCCATGTGTGTGGGCTGGCTTAAGTATTCCTCAGGGCTCCTCCTCCCCAGGGCAGCACCCTGTGAGATTGTTCACTTCCATGTAAATTAATCTTTGCAGATGAATGGGTAGTGAGGAGAACGTAGAGATGGTGCTTTAGCTGCCCGACAGTAACTCTCAATTTGTGATCAGTTAACTGTAGATTGAGCCTTGGGCTCAGCACATAGAGACTTAAGGAAGAAATCATTTCTTCAATTTTTCCTCTGCAGTGGTGGTGACCGTGGTGGCTTCAAAAATTATGGTGGTAAGTGCTGAGTATCCAAAAATGTTTCAGTGGAAATTCTTTATAAATCTAAAAGCCACCAATATCTTGTTACTATCTAGTAGAAGCATTGTAGCGTTTTGGTGAGGCTGGTGTGTTCATGAGTTTTAATAGCCAAACTTTTAGCAGTAAACTGGATTTCTACTTTGTCAAATTGCATGAAAGAATTTGTGGAGACAGTGACATTCACCGGATTATTTTTTTCTTTCGTTTCTTCTTTTAATTTTTACTACAAATGCTTCTTAGAAAGGTACTAGAGGTTAAAAAAAAAAAAAAGTGGTAAGCTGCTTGGTGATCTGACAAGCAGCAGTTGCAAGACAACACCAGCATAGCAATCAGTGTGGCAACTGCCACGTGCTGCCAGTTAAAGAACACATTAACGTCCTACAGACACTTTCTGTTGAACGTTTTTAATCTAAGTATTCTCTTAAGTCTTTGGTTAATGTTTTAGATCTTAGATGCATTACATGCATACTTTGAATATTTTCTTGTCTCTAAAAAGGTCACTTGAAAATGTTTTGCTAAAAATAGCCTTTTTTAAATTTTTTTTTTTAAAACCTGTTTCATAGGTCAGAGGGATTATGGACCAAGATCAGATGCTGGTAAGAAAATAAACAGCGGGTGGGAGTCGATTGTAGCTCTTAAGTCATTGCTTGTAGAATGTATGTCCAGAAAGATGGACATGGCTGCAATTCCCTTGGCTCCAGAAAAATTTAGCTTAAGCTTGTCTTCCTTGAAAGAAATGTATTTTATTAAAGTGCACATGAATTTTTTGATGTATTTGTATGTAGCAAGTAAGAATTTGCTGATGAACTTTGAAGCTACTTGAGCAAAGCAGCTGCTTTCAGTGCCATAACACTTTGCTAAACTCCTGTTACTTAAAACACACTGCTCTGAAGTGTATGCTCTTGATTTCACACAAGGTGTCCTTGGGATTTAAGGGTTTGCTAGACAGCACAGACCTGAGCTTAAAATGTTGCTTCTGTTGCTACCACAAAAATACATAGTAAATGTGGCTTCTTTTTTCTACAGATTCAGAGTCTGACAACTCTGATAACAACACTATCTTCGTGCAAGGACTTGGAGAAGATGTTTCAACAGATCAAGTGGCAGATTATTTCAAACAAATTGGTATTATAAAGGTATGTGAAATGAGAAATCATTGGTAGAAAGGAAGAGGAGTTGCAGAGCAGTGTATGGGAAATGTACTGGTATCCTTCAAGGCAGATGCACACTCTGGCTCCCCAGCACTTGTAGATAATATTTTTATCTGGGTTCCCAGATGACAGCTCATTTGTGAGCTGGCAGCACTAGCAGCTTTCTGCTAGTGACACTTAGATGGCTTTGTATCTCTTCTTCAGTCTTCATGACCTGAATGCTGGCACTCCATCCACTGTGCTGCCCTCACACTTCAGCCAGCATGCTGCTGGGTTCTGTGGCTTTCTCGTTGCTGCAGTTTAAAGTGGGGGGCTTTCTGCACTTGACCTCAATGTTTGTAAAAACTGGGCCCATCGTTGCCTCATGGAGAACAGACAGTCAGGATCCTTGGGTCTAAAGCATCTATTTCTGGAGGCTGGTGCCAAGAGAATCTTCTTGCTACGGACCCTGAGCTCTTGCAGTTTAAGCTGTGACCTGGCTTTACCATTATTTCTCCTGTACCACCTTTCCTTTCAGACCAACAAAAAGACTGGCAAACCCATGATAAATCTGTATACAGATAAGGATACTGGCAAACCAAAGGGAGAAGCCACAGTGTCTTTTGATGACCCCCCTTCTGCCAAAGCAGCCATTGACTGGTTTGATGGTGGGTGAGAGAGCACCTGCTCTTTTTCTTATTTGTGAATCCAACAGGCAGTGGAAGAAGCAAATCAGTAACTATTTCATGGTGGTTTGTGTGTGCTGGCTTTCTCTGGCATATGGGGAAGAGCAGCTAGTGACTAAGACCAGAACTGTGTCATGAAGCTGTTGGGGTTTGCTGCACAAAGACCATGCCCGTGTTGCTGGCTTGCGGGTGCCTTCTTGTTGGGTGCAGCAGAGCTGTGACCTGTGTTAGCAGCTGGAGGGGTTTTCTTCAGGCTGGATATTGATATTATTGGTCTTGTGGTAGCATTTGTAGATCTGGCAATGGTTATGGCAACCTTGTGCCAAGTGCTTTGTATATATGCACTAAAGAACAAGTTGGGGTTTTTCTTATGGGTTACTGGAGGAAAGGAGCACATCCCAGAAATAGACTGATATATAAAATTCTTCAGACAGATGCAGGAGATGCAGTGATACTCTTTTGTAGCAGTAAACTTGGAAGGAGAAGTGCCTGCTCCTGTGACCTTGTGTGTTCACAGAATTTTAATAATATGGGGCAGAAACAAAAGCACACAGTCTGCTCCTGCTGTGGAATGGCAGTGTGTGCAGCACCTGGCATGGCATGCTATTTGGGGTTTTATTCTTTGCTGAAAAAATGCAAATTTACTTCTGTTTCAGAGGGTAAAGCAAATATAACTATATTAGGCACGTCTGCAGTCTTGATTGTTCTGTGATTAACCTTTTATCTATGAAGAACTGAGACTTTATAATTATAAAGTTCATGTCTTTCCCTTACTTGGGCATGTTTAATTTCTGTGCTGGCTGATGGGCTGTACAGTTGTGTAAATAAGAGATGTACTGCAGCTTCCCTGTGTCTGAAGAGCTTTGTATTCAGTCTGTGTGCAAATCACTTCTGAGCTTCTGTGTCCAGTTCTGGGCCCCTCAGTTCAAGAAGGACAGGGAACTGCTTGAAAGAGTCCAGCACAGAGCTACGAAGATGATGAAGGGAGTGGAACATCTCCCTTATGAGGAAAGGCTGAGGGAGCTGGGTCTCTTTAGCTTGGAGAAAAGGAGACTGAGGGGTGACCTCATCAATGTTTACAAATATGTAAGGGGTGAGTGTCAGGGGGACAGAGTTAGGCTTTTCTCAGTGATGATCAGTGATAGGACAAAGTGTAATGGGTGTAAATTGGAGCACAGGAGGTTCAAGGTGAATATCCGAAAAAAATTTTATACTGTGAGAGTGACAGAGCACTGGAACAGGCTGCCCAGGGAGGTTGTGGAGTCTCCTTCACTGGAGACATTCAAAACCCACCTGGATGAGTTCCTGTGTGATGTACTCTAGGTGACCCTGCTCTGGCAGGGGGGTTGGACTAGATGATCTCTCGAGGTCCCTTCCAGCCCCTAAGATTCTATGATTCTATGATTCTATGAGCTTCCTGCTGTATTGATCTTTCACCTTCTGTCTTTCCACAGGGAAGGAGTTCAATGGCAATGTTATCAAGGTTACTTTTGCAACCAGAAGGCCTGAATTCATGAGAGGAGGTGGAGGTGGTGGACGTCGAGGTGGGTCTAAAATCCATAGAATCCCTGTTTTTTCATATTGAAGTGCTTTTTAAATTATTATTGGCTTATAAAAGAGAAGTATTTGAAACAGTGATTCATCAGAGTATATGGGCCTTTGGTTTTCTGCCATGAAAGGGAGTAATAAGGCTTGAACCAAGTAAACTGAAATCTGTGATGGCTTTTGCACAGCACAGAACTGAGTCTTCCCTTTTGAACTGGGAAGCCTCCAGATCATGACTCAGTGTTGCTTTTAAAGAGATACATAACAATGGTGCTAAGGCTGTACAGCTTCCACAGATACAGGTGTGAATTCCCAGGGATATTTACTTGTTACAGCAAAGCCTTTAGATACTCTGATGTTTCTAGATGGTATTTGACTGCCAGTGACTTAAAGCAGTAATTAAATAGATGTTAATCTCCCTGATTCTCTGCATGATGCAGTTTTGTTAGTAGTCCCCTGGGTTCCCAGTACAGAGGAAACATGCCTTGTGTGGTGACTGGCAACTAACTGTAGTTTTTTAATCAGGCAGTTTTGTAGGCAGATGATAAATGATTCTTCAAAAACTTCAATGGGTAGAAAAGTTCTTGATCTTGATGCAGAAAGCAAGAGCTGTGTTGTTCCTGTGCTTGTGTCAGATGCATCCTGGCACTAACCCGGGCAGATCTTTTTGAAAAATTTTTGTTCTGTGACTAAGTCTGGCCATATATGATTGAAACTATACATTGTTAAATCTTTATGAAATTGTATTAATGCACATAGTGGGCTTGTATTTACCCATTGGCAGTTCAAACAGATGAAGCTGCTTTTTAGTGCGGAAGAGAAGGATTTATAAAAAATAATGTGGTGGAGCAAATTTTTCTGGCCACCATGTGCTGTCCTTGCTTCTTATTTTCCCCCTTTCTGCCTAAGTTATAAATCTGTCACTATGAACATGAGTATTTCAGCTATGCAGAGCTATGTGCAGAACTTCAGGACATTGAATGCTGCTGAGATTTGGAGATGGCTAAAACTTCTGATGTCACTTGCCCAAGTCTTATAGCCATCTTGCAGCTAGTAGCAAATCAGCTGGTGGTAGATGCTGAATTCTGGGGGGGACAGTTTTTTGTCATTGGTTCTACCTGCTGCAGTCAGAGTTGCAGAGGCTTGCCTAGTAGGGATGTACTTACCTTAAACACTCACCCTTTCTTCAGCCTGGAAGGTCTGTCTCTCGGGTTCTGAAGGCAGTGACAGTCCTTAATAAATGTTTCTCATGTGCAGGTCATAGACATTTCCTCTCCTTTATTCTGATTATAATTTCCTCTGCAGGGTCACGAGGTGGATATGGAAGAGGTGGGGGCTTCCAGGGCAGAAGTGGGGAACCCAAAAATGGTGATTGGGTTTGTCCTAACCCGTAAGTGTCATTTGAATTGGGCAGTGGTGATTCATGGATGCCCTCTGGGTTTCTCAGCAGCTAAGCCTGGGGAATCCTTGTCTCTTCAGGTCCTGTGGTAACATGAACTTCGCTCGCCGGAATTCCTGCAACCAGTGTGGTGAGCCCAGACCAGAAGATTCACGTCCATCAGGAGGTGTGTAAGAACAACTAGGTCTCTTCTGAAATGCTGATGATTTTTACAGCTGTTTGAAAGACCTGACTGATGTGTCACTTGGCATCTTCCTGCAGATTTCCGTGGGAGAGGTGGCTATGGAGGAGAGAGAGGGTATCGAGGCCGTGGTGGCAGAGGTGGCGACCGGGGAGGTGGCTATGGTGGTAAAATGGGAGGAAGGTGAGCAGGTCCTTGGCTTTTGCTGGGATGTGGAGCATCAATGTGGAATTGATGGGGACTGTTGGAAGAGAGTGTTGTTTGTGTGCACACAAGCGTGCTATGAAAGTACTAATGACTGACCAAGGCTTCCAGAGAACATCAGCCAGTTTGCCTGTGGAGTGGTTTGTCAGCATTTCTGGGTAGGGCAGAACAGAAGAACTCAAAAGTTGACGTAGAGTTGTTTGACTTAAGGGACTATTTATTTGCTCTAAGATTCCTTACACCTTTTTGTTTCCCTTTCAGAAATGATTTCAGAAATGATCAGCGCAACAGACCGTACTGAGGACACTGTGAATGTTTTGTCTTCTTGACAAGTTTGATAGTGAAATTGCCCGAGTTTTGCCTGCCGCTTCACCCATGGCCTCTTTGGATAGTGGAATTGAGTGGAACTAGATTTTTATTTCGGTGGGAGGGACTGGGTTGTTTTGGGAGGATTTTTTTTAAGCAAGACATTGAAATTTAATCTTGATTTCAACATTTTCCTCTTTTCTTCCCCCTCCCCCCCCCCATACCTTTTCAACAGACCCTAAGAAGGAAAAGGATAAACTGTAAAATATTGCCAAAATATGAAGTGTTTTGTAATACAACAATAAATGCTGATTGTTTTATTTGTGAAATCTTGCTGTTTCACAGTTACTTCAGCTATATGTCAGTTCCTTACCTGCCTTCCTGTGGTGTGACCTGGGCAGTAAATAGGGTCCTGGATGCAGAGATCCTGCTGCTTTCACCCCAGCTCTGTTCAAAAATCATCAGGCTGGTGAGCTGTCCATGCCCTCTGTTGCAGAGTTGCAGGCTTGTCTTCTGCTCCTTTCTTACTTCCCTCTGAGGCTGAAGACCTGTGTTTCCTGCTGCCTGGGCTCTGGTGTGTCCTGCAGCCTTCATGAGGAGCAGCTAGATGGCAGTGTCTTCATGCTGCCACGGAGCGTGTGTCCAGGCCACTATAGCTCCAAAAACAAGGTGGGATGGCTTAAAAAAACCAACAAACTAATTTGCCATATATTGCTGTACCCTGTAGCTGCTGCTTTTGAAGTGTAGGTGATGGCAAACAAGTGGTGTGTGCAGCCCTTCCAGCTTCAAGGTAAGTTGCAGGCCAGGTGCAGTGTACACAGCTTAAGTGTTTGGGATTCAGCACTGCAGCAAAGGTTTGAAGAGAGAAGGAAGGTTAATTACCAGTTACCACTCCTAGGACTTGGTCATCCTATGTGCTGCAGAGGTGGGTGGTGGCACTGCCAGTCTGTTGGTGTCCCCTTCCTCTCCACAAGTCTGTGAGAGAACACCTGGTCATCCATTTCTCCAGTGGGCAAAATACTACAAATGCAAGTTCTCAGGGTCTGCTGTGACAGTCTCTGGAATTGTGCACACAGCTGCACAGCACACATGGCCTCAGAAATGAACAAAAATAGCTTTTGTTCATGTTTGTAGGCAGCTCCCTGTACATTCACGGTTAAGGTAAGTTCAAATCAGCCATTACCCCAGGCTGGCTAAGCTGTGAACAGCTATGATCTGCTTCCTCCACCATTTTTTATGATCTGTCCTCAGATATATTTTCTAAGCAGTGCAGTTTTAGTTTTGGAAATCAGTCCTGTATGGAATGCTGGTGGTTTATTTATAAAAGCACATCCAGCACTTGCCAAGCGCAGCAACAGCCGGAATGGCGGAGCGGAGCTGCGGATGCCAGGGAGGAGGCACGGGAGCACCAGGGAGCTGAAATGCAACAGAAGTAGCTGAACAATGTAAGAGGGAGCCAAATAATTTCCATGCTGGATCTATACAGCAAAACCCACCTCACCCTCAGAAGTAATGCAACTTCATGAGTTCTTCAAATACCACAGCCCTAGAGAAAGATATGGAAGCAGGGGCTGGAGCCAGGAGCTCCAGTCTCTGGGGCTTTGAGGCCAGGATTCAGCCAAGGCTGCTTTGCCTAATCTAGAAATGATAATGCTCACTTCCAGGGTAACAAAGAGCTGGTGTGATGACATCCCCAGTACATAGTGATGCTGCTGTAGAACTTGCTTGTAAAGCTGTTATAATTAAACACAGCTGTCAGAATGTGCCCAGAGCTGCAAAAGGGCTTAAAAGTCCAGATTTTATCCTAATGAAACAACATCTGCTGAAACTCAGGTGACACACTGATCCTAGAGAGAAGGATGTGTGGTTTTAGCCCTCTGAACAAATAACCAGAGAGATTCAGTCAAACTGCTCTGGCAAATGCAGCACAACTTGGGCTGAGGTGTTTGCAGGAGGGCTCATGAGCTGGATGCAGTCTCTGACCTCGCCAGCTTCCAGGAGCTCTGCACACAAAAGGTAAAGCCAAGGGAAGTATGTATGGATTTTGCATTTTCTTTTTTTTTCTTGACACTTCTGATTGCTGGTTCTGTTGGAGACAGGATACTGGACTAGACAGACTTGCCCAACACATTAAGGACAGGGGACTTGTCAGAACTTACTGTGCACAGATGAAGGACAGAAGAAAACACACAAAGGTAAATCCTTTCCAACAGCTGGAGCCAAGGCAGTGAAAGCTTCTCATGCCTCTGGAAAGACCTGGCCTCTTGCTGCCTGGGGTTGCTGCTGATTCCATGACTGTACCTGTCTGATCTGAACCAAAGTGGTTCCGGATCTGGCCTCCCTTCAGCAGCAGGGCCAGTGTCTCTGACATTGCTACCATGGCAGCCATCCTGCTGTGCCCCAGGGCTGCAGCTGCTGTTGAGCAGCAAACATTCCAAGAGTGACTGTTGTCTTGAGTGGATGAAATGGAACAACTTGAACGTGTTCTTAGTGCAAAGCATTCAAGATTTTTAAACAGCAGTTCTTGTGCATCACATCCATCCTGGGTAGAAACTGCCACCGAGGAGTAATGCTGTTGCTATTTGCTTATCAGCTGTGGTAAACATGAAAAGCTGCTCCAAGAAATGTCATGTCACTGAAGTGCTGTTTCATAATGATGGTTTATAAACAACTCTTGAGGCTCACCTCTGGAAGCAGGAGCTGTTTCATGAGGGGTTCAGCTGCCCTGCTCTGCACTGCAGTCCTACTAGTGAAGAAGCCCTTGTGATTCCAGACTCTGTGTCTGTGGTAACAGCATTTAGTTCTCCATGATGTTTTCTGGTTGACAGAGTAATGTTACTAATTTAGGAACCCTCTGGATCTCCACGCTCAAGCTGTGGAGGCATCTTAGGAAAGGGTTTAGAAATCAAGATAACTGGCTTCACTGAAATCTTTTGCATTAAATTCAAGGCAGATGGGATTTTGCCTAGAACCCAAGAGATCAGGAATGTTTAGGTGACTGGAGCTTCTTTGGATCTGTTTATCAGGATCTGCTGAGAATGTTGGTTTTTTTTAGCAAAGCTTGTGTCAAGGATTTGCCACAGACTTAAGTTCTCAAATTTTGGTCTTGGGGTAGAATTACAGGGATTTAACCTTTCTTCTGCCCCATTTCTGAGTTCTTACCTAATGCTGAAAGGTTTGGAACTCTGTTCACCTTTCACAAGATAGCTCCTCTGTTCCTGATACCATCCTGATTACAGCAGCTGGATAAACACCTCCATGCCACCAGCCAAAGGTCTGCAGAGGACTGTGATCTGGCGTCCCCGGGGCTGGGCTGAATTCTCCATCTGAGAATCAAAACCCCACCTGGTTGGGAAGCTGGCTGCTCTGGGGCTGCAGGTGCCCTCCCAGACACTTCCCTGCGTCAGGAGCAGAGGAGGGAGTTTCCTGCTCCTGCTGGAGCCCAGCCAGTCACTTTCTCATCATCCATCTTCTTAAGTGGAAGAGCAGATGGATCAGTCACTTCCTAGATACGAACCAAACACGGGTGCGTTTGCAGCCGGAGCTGCTCTTGTTTTGAAAGGAAGCGCCGGGCTGAGCCTTCCTGGCACCAGCCCCCGGGCCCCCCAGCCCCTCGCTCGGTGCTCCAGCCCAGCTGGAACCTTCTCTAGCTCTCCCCGCTGTATTTTTCTCCTCGGGGCTCAGCAGCTTCCTTATTTTGCCATGTTGTGTCGATGCCTTTCTCCTTCGAGCCCTGCCTGCCTTCCCTGCGCGCTAATCCCCTCCCGCTGAAGAGCAGCAGTTACAGGCTCCCTGTGAATCATTTCAAGCTGCGCTCAACAGATGCTGCTGTAACTTCGGGTTTTGGCACAGCTAAAAAGAAGAGGAAGAGGCCTGTGAGCTTTAAAGGAGGTGTGTGGTTGAAGCTGGCATGAAAACAAAAGCAGAGATAAGTCACATCCTATTTTTTTTCCCCCAGAACCTAAGCAGAAGCAAAACATCCTTTTGCTTTAGTCAAATTAAAATAAAATAGTCAAACAAAATCCTGCGGGGGGTGAACAGACCTGCTGACCTGTGGAGGGTGGGAACTGCAAGATCAGCTGTGTAGGAGCTGCAGGAGAACTGCAGTGCTGAACCACATTGCCTGAGTGCTCAACAGCCCTTGTTGTCCCCACGGGTGACAAAGCCCCACACCTAGGAGGGACATTTAAGCATAAACAGTGCAAACCAACAGCCCTGAGTGGGGAGCTCTGGGGCAGAGCTTGGCAGGGTGCTGTTATGTGTGGGGTGGGTAGTGCCAGGCCTGTGAAGAGGGGCTGCCTGCCCAGCCTCCTGCAGGGCTCGTGCTGGCCCTTGTCTGCTCTGAACCTGCGGGGTCTGGGCCACAGGTAAGCCCATGTTCAGAAAAAGCTGGTCTGTTTTTCTCTCTTTCCCCCCAGCTTCAAGCCCAGGTTCCTCCAGCAGCAGGTTTGTCCCAGCACCCCAGCCTGCCCGGAGAGGTGGCACCTGCAGCAGGACACCTGGCGTGCACCAGGGACAGGTGAGCTCTCCTTGCCCATCTGGGCTGTGAGCTGAGCTGAGCTGAGCAGAGCAGAGCAGAGCAGAGCAGAGCTGAGCTGAGCTGAGCTGAGCTGAGCTGAGCTGACCGCCCCGCAACGGGACCCGCTCCCGGCTTCGCCGCTCGCTGCGCGCCCACGCCCGG